TGGGCACGCCGCGGCACCGCCGCACGGCACCGCGCGCCCCCGGCGGATAAAGAGATCAAATCAAAGAGCACCAACAGGCGAGGTGCTGCTGCGAGGGGGGCTGTAAAGCTTTTACTACCGCTTGCCTGGAAAGACCTGCATAACTCACTCGTGGCACTTAATGTGGTCGCCCGGCACTTGCGGCAATAAAAGCTTTACGGCGCTCCATGCCATCCCACGCTCTCTCTCTATACAGGTGTATTTATTTACTCTGCTCCTTGGAGCTCGCTCCGATTGTGTTCCAGGGCATTTTCCATTCTTTTCCACGGGCCTTTTATCTAACGGCCAAAACAAATAAATACGCAGCTAAGCAGCTGCGGGTGTAAATCCCGAACAGGCACGCTGCAGACGGAATAAACCTGTCTCGCGCCCGTCAGCGCGGCCCTGCCGTGCCGCCTGCGCAACATTTCAATCAGCCCAACTTCCTCAAACCGTCACCAACTACTAAGCAAGGCAGTAAATCCAGGCTCAGGCGGCTTTGCATAGCCGTAGCTTCCCGCGATATATGGATCTTCGGCTGAACTTCAACATCCCGCTTTCTCTGCTGGCACCTTCTAGTGGCTGAGAAGTGGTGAATTGCCTTGTTTAACTTTTCGTGCGGGCATCCGTACAGACCCTCTCCGGGTGGGGGAGCGAGCGCCGAGTCAGCCGCGCCTGTCTCGTCCACCCGGGGAGAGCGCCAGCATTCGCGCCAACTCTGGCCTCTTTTCAAGCACTTCAAAATGTCTTCCAACTTTTTCCTTCTTTTTCTTTCTTAAGCAAAAAGCAGCAAGGTTTCCATTCCGACAAGCCGTAACCGTTGGACGAGACGTGCGTGCTGACCGCCTTAGGGAAGCAGGCAGCTCCGGCCCCGGGGCGCCCCAGGGATGCCGGTGCCCCGGCCGGAGGGGAGCGCTCTGAGCGCTTCACGCACAGCTCTCGCACCGAGGCTACGTCCTGCAACTGCGCGGGGGTCATCCCCATCCCCGCCTCGGGGAGCAAACGGCCAGCTGCTAACGCTAACACTGCCAGGGAACCGGAGGCATCCCTTCCCCACGGCTCGGAGCAGCCCGGAGAGGTAGTCGTGTCTTGGCTGCGAGTTGCTCTCTCAGAGGTACGCGGGGCGCGTCTCGGGGCTGCCACGCGCACGAGGATTTTGGTGTCAGCTGTGGAGAACAAAGGCCAGCCATGCCCCGCACCGGATACCTGAGGGGAGATAAGTCCTCTTTGCACTGCCCTTACACCGGTTATCCGCAGCCTACACTTCCGTTTGCAAAGCCTTGGAGGAGAGCATTAGCTAATCAAGTGGTAGCATCTGTAATCAGCTTGATGCACTCCCTTGCTAACCCGATTCCTAATAAGAAAATGGTGGATGGGAGGGGAGGGAGGGGGATCAAAACAAAATCCAGTCCGCAAATACCCTGCTCAGTGAGACAGAGCGAAAGACAATTGGCCAGCTCCGTCCCCAGCGTGGCTGTGTTTGTCTAAATGATTTACTGCAAAGAGTGAGCCGGCGACAGGCGAAGACGACCCGACAACTCCGAGGATGGCAGATAGGATGGCACGGCATACTCATAACACAATCTCAGCAAGTCACTGGAATGGAATGCACCGGCTCAATTCATTAGGACTGATAGCTCCCTCAATGGGGCTGAATAATTGATGGCCTGCAGAAGCTTTTAAGATGTTCTGTGCACTTGGAAGACTGAGAGTATTATTTTTTTAAAAGCTAACACACACAGAAAAACATCAGCGAAGGTGATCCGAGCAAAGGTTAGATGTTTTAATACGTTATGTTTACACTGTAAATTCTCGCTCCATTGCTTGTAGCAGGAAATGGATACGGTACGGCTTAGGGCAGCAGCAGGTGCGCGGGCAGGTCCAGGTAGCTAATTCAGCAGCAGGAACTGAACCCGCTCGCTGGGGCTGCCACAAGCCTCCCAGTGCGACGGGAGCCGGGCTCACGTCTGCGTCGCATTGGCTGAGCGAGGCCGCGGCCCGGCTCCAGGACCCCTGCTGCAACACTGGGCATCCCCAACACTGCTTGAACATCCCCTCCAGCCAGCCAGGCCCCAAAAGGAGCAGCTTCCAGCAAAGCAGTTCTCTCGAGCCACTAGGAACACCCTGGCACATCACCCGGCTCCGGATGGGAGAAAAGGCTCACTCCTTCCACTTAGGAGGCCCTGGAGCTGAAAATGGGCAACAGCTTCTGCAAAAAGCAGAAGGCTTCCTGGGGTGGGAAGGGACTGCCTCTGCCCCCGCTTACCTTTCACCGTGACGTGGACACTCTGGCTGATGGAGAGCTGGGGCTGGATCAGCACGCTGCAGACATACTCTCCTTCATCCATGCCTTTCTGGACATCCATCAGCTTAAGAGTCCCGTTCTCAAAGACCACTTGGCGGTGGTTATCGGGCAGCAGCAAAGAGTCCTTGTACCACTTGATGGAGTAATATGGGTACCCAATCACCCTGCAGTTGATGAAAGTGTCCCTACCCGCGACTGCTGTTATGTTCTTCATCGCTCGGATGCTCGGGGGACCTACATATTTGGGAGGAAGGAAGAGGCAGGCTAGGTTAATTCCGAAGGGCGGTTTGTTCACATACAGATCTGTTGCAATCTCAGAGCGAGCTTCACAGGAAAACGAGGCAACAGGAATACTTAGGACCCAGCCTTCTTTCTGGGTGACGAGCAGGCACTGGCTCCCTTCTGAGCGTACGTGGGGAAAGCCACTCATTGGGGCTCCCCTTCCACTAGAGCCCCTCACACACCTACAAAAGCGTAGGTATGAAACGGGGGGGGGGGGGGGGGGGGGGCGGGGGGGGGGGGAAAGGGGGCCGGGGGGGGTGAAGCGGTGTAAAAAGGTGTTTGGGGGGGGCGGGGGAGGGGATTGGGTGGAACCCGGAAGTGGGAGGCGGAAACCCGGAAGTGGGAGGC